GGTTACCGCTTGTGGTACTGAAACTTTACTCCGAGCTACACTCGGGAATACCGCCAGGGAGGCTACGGGAAACCCCATCTCAAAAAATGGGGGGGGAAAAAAGCCCCCCCTTAATTTTTTACCAGACCCTTGATCCAAGCACAGGCCCGGCAGGGCAGGAAAGGAGGGGGGACAATTGAGCGGCCTCTCCCCTCCCTAAGGCTTACCAGGCCACATGCCCCCGGCATTGGGATGGTGTCCCCATGCCGATGGGGAAAAGGGCCTCTTCTTCACAACCCTGGCTTGTTGGTTGTGGGGTCTGTTGGCAGGGGGGCTCATTAGCATTAGGGTAAACTTTAAATAAGCTGCCCCCTCCTTGTGAATGAGTAAGGGCTGCTTTTATCCCTACCCATTCACTAACAGGTTACATTTTGAAAAAAATAAGAAGACCAGTCTTTTGAAAAATTCCTTTAATTGAACAGAAAAACTCAAAATAACAGTTTTCAATAAGTCCTTTAATTTAAAAAAAAACCCCAAAAAATGGATTCATTATTGTAATTCATTACGGTGGCCAGTGTTGTCATGATGACGCTGACTCGCCGAAATAAAAAATACAAAAAAACCTGCCTGCTGTCCCATCAGCATCTGCTGAGCACTCACCGCAATCTGACAGGACTGGCATTTAAACAATTGGGCAGAGCCAGGGGCGGACTGACCATTTGGAAACTCGGGCACTGCCCAAGGGCCTGGGTCAGTAGGGGGCCCCATGAGATGCCCCTGGTACCTTTTTCATAGGCTTTTTTGAGTTTGGGCAAGGACACAGGGGCCCCATGATCCCCTATTGCCCGAAGGCCCCATGAGATGTCAGTCCACCCCTGGACAGAGCTAGCAATAATGTCACCACTAGCTCTGCCCAGTTTGTGATGTGATTGGCCAAAGCATTGCACCTGACCTATGGTCAGGTGCATTGCCTTGGCTAATCATTGTTCTCACAATGCACTATGAGAGCACAGTGCTGTTCGTCTGCCGAATGCCCTTATTGCCTGTGTGTTCAGCAAATACACGAAAGACCGATGTTCGAGTCAAACTTACATTCGACTTGAATGCCCATCCCTAATCAATGGGAAGAATAGTGCCATCGATGGTGTCAGCAGGAAGAATGGTGTCCTATCATTGGTTTCAGTTGGTGGAATAGTACCCCAAGTGAAGGGCCACATCAGGCTCCCTGGCTGCAGTTTGGAGACCACTGTTCTAGATCAGCCTTTCTCAACCAGGGTGCCCAGGCACCCTGGGGTGCCTTGAGGTTTCTTCTGGGATGCCTTGGCAAAATGTCCAAAAATTGCCTAAAACTTGTATACAAGCCAGTGGGTGGAACAAGTCCGGCTTTTAATTACACAAAGCCACAGGTTTTCATAGTGCACCATTACGACCTTCTAGCCGCAGGAGTCCTGACAGCCAATAACATCCCCAGTTTATACGGAGGTTGTCAATCGCCTGCATAGAATCCTAGTTTGAGCATCCCCTGCCCCTCTCCATCAGTGGTGGGGTCACATTAGCTCAGTGATGAAGAAAAACTGAGGGAGAAGAGAAACATTGGAATACTAGTCAGTACCAGTGTGCAGAAGTGTATTTGCTTTGAAAGAATAAATCACCTCTAACTTTGGCTGTTATACATGTGTGGATGTTGCTGTGTTATACAAAACTATTAGAATAGTTTTTCACATTTTAGAATGGGGTACCTCAAGACTCTCCATAATTTTACACGGTGCTTCGGGACTGTCAATAAGTTTAAAGGGTGCCTTGACTGAAAAAAGGTTGAGAAACATTGATCTAGATGAATAGAAGCACAGGTGATACCCAGCCTTTTGGGACTGAAGCCTCTTGCACCTCTGATGCTAACATAGAATGTTCAAAAGGAAAAAAAATTTGCTTTATTTAATCACAAAACATAAAGAAATTATGCACCACAAACTACAGTGATAAGCTATCTACAACAGTATCTAAAAGGAAAGTTGCAGATCAGATTAGCACAGGTTCATTGCACTTTTGTATCACAAGATTTAACAAAGTCCCTTGTCAAAGCATGATCACATAATGCTTTACTTACCATTGCAATGTATTATTATTACTGTGACTCTTAGCTGACTCATTGCTTCATAAAATTATATAACAAGTAACTTCATCATTCTGGTTATAAATACTAGAAACAGATGACATGACTTATTAGGGGAATTTTGTCTGTTAAAGTCTGGACATTGCAACAATTATTTAATGCTTGATTTATGTGGCTATATGTTTTTATGCTTTTGGTAGTGCAAAATGTTTATCATGTTACTGATCTGAAACAACTGCTGTGCCAGCTGTGGGAATATTGTACAGAGACTGTTCCGTGAAAATATTCAATTTGATAATTTATAATGCACATTACATGAGCAGTTGCACTTTTTGTGGGTAATCTCCGAGCAAAACAGAAGTGGATTCATGGTTGCTCAGAGTAGCAATATTATTATTATTATTATAATACAGGTTTTATATAGCTCCACCAGTTGGCATAGTGCTTTACAAAATAAAAATCATAAGGTTATGCAGCAGATTAAGAGATGTCCATATTTCTACAAGCTCATTATCTTAGGTAACATATTCCAGCTTTAAATTCCACTCTAAATACAGTTTATGGTGTTAAAAAAGCAATAGAAACAAAAGGGAGAAAGAGGTTGTACTTAATGGGGGAGATTTACTAAAACTGGTATATATAGAATCTGATGCAGCTGTGCATAGTAACCACTTGACCTCCAAAAGATTTACCCCCCCCCCCCCCCCCCTCCTGATCAGGCCATTTTTTTCTGATACGGCGCTGCATTACTTTAATTGACAATTGCACGGAAATGCAACACTGCACCCAAATGAAATTTGTCATTTTTTCCCCACAAATACAGATTTAATTTGGTGATATAATATCACCACTGCTTTTTATTTTTTGCCCTATAAACAAAAGAAGACCGACAATTTTGAATTTGAAATTTTGACTTTTTGCTATAAAACATCCAATAAAAAAAATTTGAAAATCAAATTTCTTCCTAAATTTAGGCCAATATGTATTCTGCTACATATTTTTGGTAAAAAAAAATCCGAATAGGTATATAATGATTGGTTTGCACAAAAGTTATAGTGTCTACAAACTATGGGATATATATATACTTAAATTTTTAATTTTATATACTAGTAATGGCGGCGATCAGCGACCTATAGCGGGACTGCAATATTGTGGTGGACAATCTGACACTAATTGACACTTTGTGGGAACCAGTGACACTAATACAGTGATCGGTGCTAAAAATATACACTGTCACTGTATTAATAACATCGGCTGGGAAGATGTTAAACATCTAGGGCGATCAAAGGGTTAAATGTGTACCTGGCCAGTGTTTATGTATACACAGATTTTATTACCTGCTTTGCATGCAGAAAGATTTTTTTTTTTATTTCTTTATTCAAGAAAAAAAAGCACAGTCCATAGCAAGCATTTTAACAAGACCTTACAGAAATTTGGGAAATTACTCTGTCAGGCATTGTTACAAAGTATTGTCAATAAGTTACAAGTCACAACTGTCCTTTCTCTCTATTAACACATTTTTATTATGGGGATTTTGCAAAGAATTGAAAGAAAAGTATAGGGAAAGAGGAAGGGGGATAGACTCCCTCAATGTCTAATGAGCTCACTCTGTGCCTATGTGCATATTAACAGTAATTAAGACTAAGGTATGGCTTCAGATGAGCAAGCCAGGGGAGTCTGGTCTCCACAGAAGAACCATGGTCTCCACATGTGTCAGTATACCTCATCTTGCTCATAGCCATGGTAAGTTGTTCCATCTGTGAGAGAGAAAGCATTAACTCCAAAATTGTAATGCTGTCACCGGAACAAGAAGCCAGGGAAAATCCTCCAACTGGGACACCTGTTCCTATGAATATTTTCTAAGATGGGAATTCCGCTCACTTCTGAGTTTTGCTTTTGCATAGTCAAAACAGAAAGTAAAGGAAAAAAATCACCCCAGTGGGTCACAGGCAACAAAGAAATGCCTTCATGGGGGCTTTAACCTGTCTTTAGTCTATCTAAAACAAATACACTCTAAAGTGTTTTTGATCATTTCATTTTTTAAAATATAATAATGTTTATCTTAAGTGTAAAAGGCCTTAACTGGTTACTCACCTAAAGCTACCTGCAATTTCAGGGACTTTTTTAGATGCACTTGTACTTTTACTCACGTTGAAGTATTGTGTACTTGTCTTCTTGTTCTCTAATATTTTGCTCTTGTGTTTTGTCATGTCATTTATATGTTTTGGATATATTAAAAATGAATGTTACCTGCAAGTATGTACATTACAATTTATTACTGTGTGCCTAAAAGAACACGTTAGCAGAGTCAAGCTGCAAAATGTACAATTTTAAAAAAAAATGCACTGTACTGGTATGAACTACCTCCAATAATGTAACACATTATAATGTGTTACATTATTGGAGGTAGTTCATACCAGTACAGTGCATTTTTTTAACCTCCTCGGCGGTCTGATTATTTCCGATTTTTTGCGCTGAAAGCGGTACCATTTTTTTGCATGGAAATAGGTAGTTTTTTATTGTAGGCTGTAATTTTTAGGAATAACTCACTGAAATCTGTACGAACAAGAGTCTAGTAAACATCCCGGGTAGGATAAAATTTGAAACACGAACATACATTATAATTTAATAAATAATCATAAAAAATAATAATATAATAATAATAAATTTAATTCAACAATATAATCAAACCAAAAACACTGAAATTTGAAATACAGAGGCAAATTCACACATCGCTGAGCAAAGTCGCAAAATCGTTTTCAGTGTCTGATGACAAATTTCCCCACAAATCATTATCACTCAATTCTGCAAGTGGTTCTGATTTACTATCGCTGTTCTGCTGGTCTAAAACCGCTTTTGACGTAAAGGGACGCTTTTTGGACTCCATGGACTTTTTTAAATTTCCAGGCAGAAAGAACAGTCAAAATGCAGGCAGGGCACAGGACAAAGCAGTAGGGACAAAATGTATGTGAAATGCATTGCAACAGCAATTTTCAATGCATTTTAAAAAAAAATGACATTTTTTTAAAATCATTTAAAAAAAATGACATTTTTTAAAAATTCTAAATTTGCCACCGGTTCCGGCGCCCGTACGTACCAATGTCACAGGGACCGGAACATGGAAGCCGGATGCCGGCACTGGCCGGAGGAGATGGCCGGGGATGCTGCAGGGGACACATCGTGGGAGCGAAGGACAAGGTAAGTGCTGCAGGGACTCCCTGAGCAACGCCGCATGGTAAGCTCGAGTGTAGCTCGGGGTTACCGCTCTTGGTACTCAAATTTTACCCCTAGCTACACTCGGGAATACCGCTAAGGAGGTTAAAAATTGGACATTTTGCAGCTGCATGGCACTAATAATTATTAGTGCCATGCAGCTTAGCTGTGGTGGGGGTATGTGGAAAAAAGTCAGAACCTGTCAATGACCTGTCTATCCTAATTTCTGATTCTGTAATAGATGAAAATAAATATTACAATTATTATTGTTGAAATAATAATTACATATAAGACACATTTGAAGAGATACACATTCATCAGGTTCATCTGCTGCCAGATGTTCTTTCTGATGATCCAAGGGAAGGCAAACAAACTCCCAGTGACGCACATTCCAAATTCGTCCGTCAAATTTTCCCTTTAATTTAGTTTCCCTTCACTGAACTTTTTCATGTGCCATAAAATCTTATTTTTTAAGAACTAGTGCCAAAACTGTACTAAACTGCTCTACCCTAGTTCAGTCTTATCCGTGGCATTTTAGTCTACGCGTGCATGCGTGCATCCCTATACATTCAGAGATAAAATCTCTTATATTCACAGTGATTTTGTTTCTTCAAATAAAATGTACATTTGAACATTTAAACCACTTTTAACTATTTAAATATATTTGTTTTCCAGGCAATCTTCAATGTATTTAGAAATAGGTTAAGGTTTGCTTTTGGACATAAAGCAAGTGAAGGTGCAAATGGCTTTGATACTGCAACCCTACCTTGCTTTTTAAAAAAAGTAAAAAGGAGGAGTTGTGCTGTACATAACTTTCATCTGAAATTATGTTCATACAGCTAAATGTTCACCTCACAAGTGGTTAGTCAGATGGACTCACTAGTTGCTAAAGCCTAAAAAGAAAGTAGTCTACATAACTTCCAGAAAAAAAGACATTTTTACTTACCTGGAAATTCCATATCTTGGAGTACAGGAAACCACAGGGATATTCATTGACCACTGTTATAGGCTACTTCATTCAGGTGATTGGACACTGGCAAAGCGTTTGTACACCCCCCCCCCCCCCCCCTCAGGGGTACCCCTATAACCCTACCCCACTCTGTGACACCAGAGATTTTTAGCAAGCAATACAGAGAAACACAAAAAAGTGGGGTGAGTGGCCTGTGTTCTGTACTCCAAGATATGAAATTTACAGGTAAGTCAAAACTCTTCCTAATCGTACAGTACAGGACACAGGCTGAATATCCATAGACCCTGGGACATCCCCAAGTAATGAATCAGTGGGGTAGGCAACAGCAAAGCAAACAGAACTGTGCCCCAAAAACAGGCAAGGATCAGAGACCCAACTTAGATTGCCACTAAAAAAACCTTGTGGCCATTTGGACATCCACCTGGTACAGCTTGGAGAATTATGAATGGAAGAGCAGGTTTATGGCCTTAAAAGCTGAGCAACAGACGCTTGCTGTCAGAATATCTAGGAAACTCCCACCGATTTAGTGGAAGGAGCACCTAAGGGTATTGGAGGGACCTTATCCTTTAGAGCCTAGGTTCTTACAATGAGTTTGTAAAAAGAGAAAAAACCTCAGCGCCCAGGATTCTCTTATTCCACACACTATTTTCTGTGAGATGCTGCTGTACACAGGTGCAAAAACAAAAAACTTATATCAACTTATACCAGCGCAAAACCCACAAAACAATAAATTGCATCACCCAACCCATAAATAATTACTAAATATCTCACAAACTTAAAATACACTGTGACACAAAAATATAAATTCAATATTAAAAAATATATACATAATTTAAAGTTTAAAAAATAATAAGTCCAGTGACAAAATCCAAAAAAACAGTCCCGTGAAAAAATTAATTATATTATATTTTCATTGGATTCTTCCGTGCCAGTGATACCTCCACCATCCACCAGTGCAAAACCAACATTAACCGCACTCACCAGATAATGGTGAGTCAAACGCCTTTCAGGGATATTAAGGGCTCCTGGACCCCCTTTACTTTGTATATGACCTCCAAATATTGCCTCCTCTAGGATATGGAACCTCCTCTGGTTGCTCCTCTCACCGAATCCCCCAGAGAAAATCAGGAAGAAGAAAAAAAACCATAGTGTGATACCGTAATGATTTCCAATCTTAAAAGAATTTTTCCAGACCACTCACATTTTAGCAGATATTAACCTGGATTTTATTGAAGCAAAACGATCTTTCTTTCATAAAAACGCTCTTTCTTTCTTCGTATAAAGTGATTTCTGTATAGAGACCCCACAGCCAGGTATACAGCAGGATAACAGACCTCAGATGCAGACCCATCCACTATGCAAAGATGGCCCCTTGGAACACACCGCTCGGCGTGCGTTCCACTCACCGGAAATAACGTCAGATGCCGGGACAGGCAGCCGGAAATACGTCAACGTGTTTCGCCCCACCCACAGGGCGTTCTCAAGAAGTGAGTGGTCTGGAAAAATTCTTTTAAGATTTGAAATCATTACGGTATCACACTGGTTTTTTCTTCTTCCTGATTTTCTCTGGGGGATTCGGTGAGAGGAGCAACCAGAGGAGGTTCCATATCCTAGAGGAGGCAATATTTGGAGGTCATATACAAAGTAAAGGGGGGTCCAGGAGCCCTTAATATCCCTGAAAGGCGTTTGACTCACCATTATCTGGTGAGTGCGGTTTATGTTGGTTTTGCACTGGTGGATGGTGGAGGTATCACTGGCACGGAAGAATCCAATGAAAATATAATATAATTAATTTTTTCACGGGACTGTTTTTTTGGATTTTGTCACTGGACTTATTATCTTACAATGAGTTGTCTTATCCATCTAGCAATAGTGGACCTCAAAGCAGGGTGTCCCTTTCAGGGCCCTCATTAGAGGCTGTGGCTTTTTGATAGCTCTATGTCCAAACAATGGAGAGCACTTTCTTTGGGTTGTTTTGGGAGGGCAACAAAAGGAATGTCTTTTTTAAAGCGGAACTGTACTCATAACAATTGATAAAAAATAATTTTCTTTAGCAAGGAACATACATTCCACATTAATAATTATGCTTTATTGGAAAAAAACTAAATAATTATGCTACAAAAATTAGTGTGTGCTGTAAGCATTTTTCCTGTTTCCTCTTACTGGAGGCTACCATTTTGTTGAAGCCCAGAACTCTGAGCAGCAGTTAAAGCAGAACTAAACCCTATCCTATCCTTTTCAGCCAAGGAAGCTGCTATCTGTTTGTTCTGCAACTGCCACGGTGATGCATATACACAGGTGAAACTCGAAAAATTAGAATATCGTGCAAAAGTTCATTTATTTCAGTAATGCAACTTAAAAGGTGAAACTAGTATATGAGATAGACTCATTACATGCAAAGCAAGATAGTTCAAGCCGTGATTTGTCATAATTGTGATGATTATGGCTTACAGCTCATGAAAACCCCAAATCCACAATCTCAGAAAATTAGAATATTACATGCAATCAATAAAACAAGGATTGTACATAGAACAATATCAGACCTCTGAGAAGTATAAGCATGCATATGTGCTCAGTACTTGGTTTGGGCCCCTTTTGCAGAAATCACTGCCTCAATGCGGCGTGGCATGGAAGCTATCAGCCTATGGCACTGCTGAGGTGTTATGGAAGACCATGATGCTTCAATAGCGTCCTTCAGCTCTTCAGTCTCAGTCTCATGTCTCTCATCTTTCTCTTGGCAATGCCTCATAGATTCTCTATGGGGTTCAGGTCAGGCGAGTTTGCTGGCCAATCAAGCACAGTAATCCCACGGTCATTGAACCAGGTTTTGGTGCTTTTGGCAGTGTGGGCAGGTGCCAAGTCCTGCTGGAAAATGAAGTCAGCATCCCCATAAAGCTCGTCTGCGGAAGGAAGCATGAAGTGCTCCAAAATCTCCTGGTAGATGGCTGCGTTGACCCTGGACTTAATGAAGCACAGTGGACCAACACCAGCAGATGACATGACTCCCCAAATCAACACAGACTGTGGAAACTTCACACAGGACTTCAAGCATCTTGCAGTGTGTGCCTCTCCATTCTTCCTCCATACTCTGGGTCCTTGGTTTCCAAATGAGATGCAAAAGTTGCTCTCATCAGAAAAGAGGACTTTGGACCACTGAGCAACAGACCAGGTCTGTTTTTCTTCAGCCCAGGTATGACACTTCTGATGTTGTTTGTTGTTCAGGAGCGGCTTGACAAGAGAAACATTTGAAGCCCATGTCCAGGATCCATCTGTGTGTGGTGGCTCTTGATGCACTGACTCCAGCCTCAGTCCACTCCTTGTGAAAGTCCCCAACACTTTTGAATGGCCTTTTCCTGACAATCCTCTCCAGGCTGTGGTCATCCCTGCTGCTTGTGCACCTTTCTCTTCCACACTTTTCCCTTCCACATAACTTTCTATTAATGTGCTTTGATACAGCACTTTGGGAACATCCAATTTCTTTTGCAATTACCTTTTGAGGCTTTCCCTCCTTATTGAAATTGTCAATGATGGTTTTCTGCACAACTGTCAGGTCAGCAGTTTTTCCCATGATTGCGATTCCTACTGAACCAGACTGAGAGACCATTTAAAGGCTCAGGAACCCTTTGCAGGTGTTATGGCTTAATTAGCTGATTAGAGTGGGACACTTTGAGCCTAGAATATTGCACCTTTTCACAATATTCTAATTTTCTGAGATTGTGGATTTGGGGTGTTCATGAGCTGTAAGCCATAATCATCACAATTATGACAAATCACGGCTTGAACTATCTTGCTTTGCATGTAATGAGTCTATCTCATATATTAGTTTCACCTTTTAAGTTGCATTACTGAAATAAATGAACTTTTGCACGATATTCTAATTTTTCGAGTTTCACCTGTAACTAGAAAAGCCACAATTTCTCGGGAAATTGTGTGAAGTGTTCTTGCCTGCTCACACAACTAGGTTCCTATGGCAACTCAATCTACAGCAAGGGCAGAGAAGAGCGGTTAAAAACAAACTGCTTCAACTTGCCATTTTCAAATGGTTGTAGTTTAAAAATTATAAATCCTACACCAAAGAGATTTATATTGTGAGAATCACAAAGCTCAGACCTACATTTTGATACATAGTATGTCTCTGAAATATT